AAAAGAAATATACATCTATTTTTTATGATCATTTTATAGCCATGCTGGCTAACAATAGTTAGTTGGCCTCTATAAAAATACTACATACTTTTGTGGGACATTTATATTAAGGCATTAACAGAAAAAAATGTTAAGTTTTCAGTACCTATTTAGAAATAGTACATAACTTCCTATGAAGTAATAATCACTTGAGGAAGAAGTTATAAAGGTACAAAAAATTTAGGGATTTTTTTCAAAATACTTCAAAATTCATAAATCATATTTTGCATTATCTAATTAATGTTAAATGTGTTTCATTGATATTTTTTGCTTTACACTTTGCAAGAGATAGAAAATGATTGTATATGTTCCCTGAACAAAATTGGTCTATTACTGAACAGAGATGAACATACTCATTTTTTATTTTTTTTATTTTATTTTTTTATTTTTTATTTTTTGAATATGAAATTTATTGTCAAATTGGTTTCCATACAACACCCAGTGCTCATTCCAACAGGTGCATATTTATTTAAATGTAAATGTAAAACTCATTTTTAAGATGGGAGTTTGAATTAGTAAAATTGTTACTGGTTCCAGAGTATTCAAGTTCATGCCCTCCTCCACCCCCAAATGTCAGGTACAGTCTTTCATGTGCAAGCACTTCCGTTAGTGTAACACACTTGGCCTTTCCTGCTCCTTCACTCACTTCTTCCCAGAGGAAGAGGAGGAATTTAATCGGATTGAGTTTGGAAGGACACATAGTTTTGCATAGGGTGGCCCCTTCCTCTTTAAGAAGCAGCTGTATTTGGGGAGCATCTGTTCTGCTCTGGTCCTCCAAGCTTGAAATTGTAACTTGGGAAGCTCTGCCTTTGCCTTTTTATAGCTCTGTTTGTGATCGAGGGGTGACTTTCCCTAAATCTGGAGCTCACAAGAGGAAGCCCACTTGCTGTAGATATATGTCACATTCTCTGTTATCAGTTTTATCAGAAATCAAGGTGATATGCTGATCTCCCATCTGCCTTATTCTTAGTTCCTTCTGAGTTAGCCCAGTACTTGGGTGGAAAAAGGAGTGTTTTAATTGAGCTCTTTCAAATCCCAAGTGAGTAAGTATATTTTGCTCCTTTGGTCAATTTCAGTCTTCCAAAATAGGGATTTCTCCCCTATCTACAGACATGACAGGCCTAAGACAAAGGTGACGAGTTAAATTTTATAAAACCATTACACATGATTCTCCTGCTCAAAGCATGTCAGGATGATTAAATTACTCCCTTTAAGGCAAAAAAAAAAAAAAAAAAAAAAAAAAAAAAAAAAAAAAAAAAAAAGTAGTCATATATTACTTTTTAGTTTTACACTTCTATCTACACACATATATAAAGGTATATGATATACACACATATATATTTAAGATGTGAATAATAATTTTATTCAAATAATCCCTATTGGGGCATAATAGAAAATATGTATTTGGTTTTTACCTCCTGCAACTGGCAAACAACTCTATAACCCTTGGAATCCTGGGATGATGAGTATCTTTTATATGCTAATGATTGATTGGTGGCTGGGAGTCCCTACACGCTTCCATGGTGAAAGACCCAAAATCAGAGAGTTGGAACTTTCACCCCACCCCTAACCTTCTGGAAGAGGAGAGGGGCTGGGGACTGAGTTAATCACCAATGGCCAGTGATGTAATCAATCATGTCTACATAATGAAACCTCCATAAAAACTCCTGGACTGTGGGGTGTGGAAAGCTTCTGCGCTGGTAAACACACTGAGGTTCTGGGAGTGTGGCACACCCAGACAGAGCATGGCCGCTCCACCTCCCTCCTCCCCATGCCCTGCCCCATGCATCTCTTCCATTTTGTTCTTCCTGAATTGTATCCTTTGTAACCATACAAATAAAGTGTTTCCCTGAGTGCTGTGAGTTGTTCTAGCAAATTATTAAATTTGAAAAGGAGGAATGTCGGGGAATCCCCAACTTTATAGCCAAATTGGACAGACGTGTACAGGTCCCCTGGGCACCCAATATTTGTGACTGGCATCTGAAGTGAGGACAGTCTCGTGGGAATGAGCCCATAAGCGTGTGGAGACCGACACTAACTCTGTAGTCATCGCAGAGCTGAATTAAATGATAGGACACCCAGTTGGTGGCCAGAAAGTTGTAGAACTGGTTCTTGGTGGGGAGAAAACCCACATATTTGGTGTCTCAGTGTTGTGAGCAAATATAGTTCATACTCACCTTCTCTATTCCTATAACACACACAAAAAAAACCCTAAAAACAAAATCTATGCATACTGACTCCCACGTTTTCTTTTTTCTCGCTGGACAGGCATTACGCTTGCTGTAATATCCGAGTAATTTTAATTGTAAGACTGCTCTTTCCTTGTGTATGTAAATATGCCACACTGTTCAGTCATGCAAATACATAGGAAAATAGTTGTGCATTTGCAAACATTTCAGATGATGGAAGTGGGGGAAGAGGCACCACACCACGATAGTTCTCCATTTGGGTTGTCATTTCTAGAGACTTTTATATGTTTAAAACACTCACATATGTGTTTTAAACGAGTTGAAATAAAAGAGTTCATTCTGAGCAAGTCATAATTCTTGAGATGTCAGATAGTTGGTTCTCATAAAGTACTTCACACATAGGAAGTCCCTTGCAATGACAATTGTTTATTCTCTGGTCACCAAAGTATGTAATCCTACCCCTGTTTAAATGAAATAATATCAACATTTTTTTCAGTGCCAGTTTTTGTCAGCTTGCACGAATTTTAAGGAATTTCTTAACAACTATAAACCAGAAGGTAAAAGGAAAGCAATATAAAATCGTAGAATCCTTTAAAGATCATTGAAAAGCTTGTCTGTGCCTTAAAACAAATCATGATAGTGTTATGTACGATAAGATACAGAAACACATTTGTCTGCAGCAATCCACTCTAGCAACCACTAAACACTGGATTCTTAATTTTGCACGTGAAATTTTCACGTCTAAATTTTGAGCTACTGCACTTTAGATGAAACTGAGAGAGGGATTTTTAATCACATCATTTTAACTTCACTCATTGCTACCGATTAATATTTTTCCCTAATAAAATAATGTGGTGTGACTCTTTATATTCTAAACTGCTTTTCCATCTTTATCTTATTTGCATAGGAATATGAACTTCTGGTTCCTGTCAAATGAGTCTTTATTACAAAGACGAGGATGTAAATTCATGTGAGTCTCTGTGATTTTGGAATAGGCACCAAGCGCTAACTGCTAACAGTTATGAATATTTATCAGTTGCTGTTATTAAAAAGACAATTTTTTTTTCCTCCTAAAGATTCTGAGTAAACAATTTCAAAATGTTACTCCATCTGTCAATGTTTTCTGAAAACAGTACCAACCTTCTTTTTTATCTTCTGGAGTAATCTTCACTTTTGTATCTGTTATGTCTTTGAATGAGGCCAGAAAAAGTACCACATCTCCTTTCTCATTCTTTATAGGAACAATATCCAATAGGCACCAAAATGGAGACCCTGCAACAGTAATAAAAATACAAATCAACCACTGCCTCGTGTTTTTTCTATGAAAATCTCAATCATTAGTGGTGCAGTTAATAAAGTCCTTACTGTTTTCTTCTATCCCACACCTCCCCTCCAAAATCTTAAAAATGTCAGTTTTCAGATTCCATAAATGTCTAGCCCATATGCATATCTCTTCATTCCCAAATGAAATGCTTTCTTTGAAAATAAGGCTGTATTTTAAACAAAACCACTTGTCTGTGCTGAGATATTTCTGCTTATGTAATTCAAAATGTATTTCTTTTTTGAACTTGTTGATGTTGAAGCATTCCGCTTTATGAAACATTGCCCCTTCCCACCCCCAACACACACGGGTTGCTAAAATAAAGACCTTTGTTTGGTATGAGATTGCTAGAGGTTTATTTAGTCAATTTAAAAATCAATGATTGTCCACCAGAACGGCTAAAGCTGTTAAAAAAAAAAAAGATGAAAAATACCAAGTTTGGGGGGAAATGCATAGTCACTTAAACTCTCCTACATTGTTGGCTGGTTGCAAATTAGTATCTATACTGTAAAAATTGTACAACAGCATTAAGATATATTCCCACAATACAAAATTACGCAGCAATGTGAATAAGAGTTATACAATAACTGACAATCAGATGGATGGATATCCCTAACATCATAATGAGCAGAATGCATATATATTAAGTACAAAAACAGGCAAAACTCATCTACAGTGTTAAACTCATCTACAGTCAGGATGGTGGTCTGGGAGATGGTGACTAGAAAGAAGGGGACACAGGTGGGGCACCTGGGTGGCTCAGTAATTTAGGAGTCGACCGGCTCTAGTCATGGAATCTCTCATAGTTAGGTGAGTTAAAGTGCTGAAGTGGTGCTGACAGCTCAGAGCCTGGAACCTGCTTCTGTATCTCGCTCTCTCTCTGCCCCTCCCCCCTTCAAAAATAAGTAAACATTGAAATAGAAAAACTAAAAAAAAAAAAAAAAAAAAAGAAGGGGACACAGGTCCTAGAGATCTGGCATGCTGGTCATGTTCTGCTTTATGATCTTTCTGTTGCTTCCATCGGAGTGTTTAGTTTTTGCAAACCCATCAAACTCCATGTATGCATGTGTATTTTTCAGTAGGTGTATATTACTTCAAAAGCGTATTTTAAAAAGCGATAAGTTCAATTCTATTTTTCCAGCAAAAGAACCCTGAGAAATAATATTAGCAGCTTCAAGTTCAAACCTAAGGCTCATATTTTGAAATGTTTTTATATATATTAAAATATACATTTTAAGACTATATTAAAGTTCTCATACTAGATTTCCTCCTAAAAAACATTTCTGGGCAAAAAAAAATTTAAAGTGGCAAAAAAGTTATTATGTGCTTAAACACAAAACTATTAATCTATTCACACATATTTTTTCCATCATTTTTCTTTTGATGAGCAAAAAAAAATCCCTCAATACTGTGAATTTCCATCTTATATGGGAGTTGATTTCACAGTTGGGTATAAGACAAAAATAACAGTCAGAAATACCCTCGATATTTTAAGTTGTTTTGTATATACTGTATTAGATCTCACAGTTTCCAACACAGCTGATGTATCCATCCAGCCTCGGAATCTATCACAGATAAAGGAGCTGATACAGGGGCCATCTGACAAAAAGATCACATTTTGTTTTAGCTGCTACTGTACTTTTTGAAAAGTGTGGTTGAATACACATGCAATAAACATGAGTACGATGTGCTTCCACTGTATAAAGGATGCATGGACTATGTACCTGTCCCAATGGATCCTCCTAAATAGCTTCAGCATCATAAGTCAGAAGTTCCTCCCTGTCCTTCGGACTCAGATCTATAGTTTCCTTTCATTCGTCTTCCCAAATATCTATGCCACAGCAATTCTATTTCAACACCACATCACCAGGCGGGAGCGGGATCTAACCATACCTCCAACATTAACTAGCTCTGGACCATGGGGGAGTCAATTAACTTCTCTTCTCCAATTAACTTGGTTCCCTCAATTGTAATATCCTCATATCCTTCACTCCAGTGATGCGTAGAGTAACCCAAACACCATGAGACAATATATCAACTCTATTGTCTACAACTAATGGGGAAACCTCATCAATGAGCCGTACTCCTGGCCAAACACTACTATCCCCATTATCCCAGGATGGCTCTTAATTCAATTTTTTTCTATAGCCACCATTTCCAGTTGGGAGCGGTTTGTGCTAATGCTGTAGCTATGGTAGGAATGAAAAGAATCATCAGGGCAAGCTGTCAACCAGACCCCGGACATATTAATAGCGGGGACCTGGGAAAGAATATGAATCTGATAGTCGGATCACATTTTTAAAGCATCTCTGTCACTTGTCTTGCAAAAAACATCACCCAAATCAGAACAGAGGCTATTATTTTTCCCGAAAATACATTTTATCTATGCACTCAGACAAGCCTCATTATTGTCTCCACAGAGCCTTTGCACAGGTGCACCAAAGTATTTTAGAGAGAGGCGAAAGCATATCAGGTGAGAGCCAAGCAAAGAGCTGCCAAATGTCAATATTCTCGAATCAGCACAGCAGTCATTTTACATGGTGTTCTGGGAGTGTTGAAAGAGCACTTTGAGATTTATCTTTTAAGTGAGATGTAATCTTTGACATTTTATAAATTCAGTAAAAGTCCATTAACACGGGTCCTTTTAAATTCAGATTTTTGTAATAATTTGGCACGGACTAGGCTGACGTCTGCCTTCCCATTGCATATATGACAAAAAAATGTGTAGAGGCGTGTATCTCAGAGATACTGCAGGTTTGGTTCCAGACCACCCCAAAAAAGTAAATATCACAATAAAGTGGGTTAAATGAATTGTTTTTGATTCCCAGGGCATATACAAGTTATGCTTACGCTATACAGTAGTCTATTAAGTGTGCAATAGCACGGTGTTTAAAAATGCAAAGTACACGCTTTAATTAAAAATACTTAATTTCTTTCAAATATGCTAACCATCATCTGAAGGCTCAATGAGTTGTAATCCTTTTGCTGGAGGGTATTTGCCTTGATGTTGATGGCTGCTGACTGCTCAAGGGAGGGTGGTTGCTGCAAGTTGGAGTGGCTGTGGCAATTTCTTAAAAAAAGAAAACAATGAGTTTGCCATATCAATTGAGTCTTCCTTTCATGAACGATTTCTCTGTAGCACGTGATGCTATTTGATAGCACTTTACCCGCAGAACTTCTTTCAAAATTGGAGTCAATCCCCCAAGCCCTACTACAGCTCTATCAACTAAGTTTATGTGATACTCTAAATCTTTTGTCGTTATTTCAGCAATATTCCCAGCATCTGCACCAGGAGTAGATGCATCTCAAGAAACACTTTCTTTGCTCATCCTAAGAAGCAAGTCCTCATCTGTTCAAGTTTTATCATGAGATTGCAGCCATTCAGTCACAGCTTCAGGCTCCACTTGTAATTCTAATTCTCTTGCTATTTCCACCATATCTTCAGTGACTTCCCCACTGAAGTCTGGAACCTATCAAAGGCATCCATGAAAATTGGAATCAACTTCTTCCAAACTCCTGTTAATAGCGATATTTTGGGGGTGCCTGAGTGGCTCAGTCAGGCATCCGACTTCAGCTCAGGTCATGATCCCACAGCTCGTGAGTTCAAGCCCCACGTCGGGCTCTGTGCTGACAGCTCGGAGCCTGGAGCCTGCTTTGAACTCTGTGTCTCCCTCTCTGTCTACCCCTTCCCCACTTGCACTCTCTTTCTCTCTCAAAGATAAATAAACATTAAAAACACGTATTAAAATAGTGATGTTTTGACCTCTTCCATGAAACACAAATGTTCTTAAAAGCATCTAAAATGGTGAATTCTTTCCAGGAGGTTTTCAATTTACTCTTTCCAGGTACATCAGAAGAATCACTATCTATGGCAGCTATAGTTTTATAAAATGGGTTTCTTAAATAATAAGACTTAAGTCAAAATTGCTCCTTGATACATGGGCTGCAGAATGGACATTGTGTTAGCAGGCATGAAAACTACATTAATCTCACTGTACATTTCCATCAGAGTTCTTAGATGAACAGCTGCATCACTAATGACCAGTAATATTTTGAAAGGAATCCTTTTTCGGGGCGCCTGGGTGGCACAGTCGGTTAAGCGTCCGAC